AATTTTACACTGTTTAGGGAAAACAAATTAAATATTTAATTACCAATTGCTTAATACTGGCAGACAATCATCTGACCCATAGGTGGCAGCCATCTCAAGCCAGAGGACGAGAGGACTCTAGCCGCCACGTATATAAAGGATTTATAGTGAAAAACTTTGTTTTTACGGGTTATACTTATTCTTCCTGGATTCTCTCTGGAGTCATTCTCTGGGTGGAGGCGATTCGAGCACTACACTCTTTGGCACTGGGCTACTTAAAAGTTGGGCAATGCAACTCCCCAGCCCCCCTCCCCCCACAAATATTATCAGGGCAGTCAAGCAGAGTAAATATATATTTAAATAGCTCCACAATATTCTTAGGTTTTTTCGGTAAAGTCACTGTGTAGGTAAAAACATTAAAAAGTAAAATAAAATAAAAATCACGACGTTTCGGAGGCAACACAAGCTTCCGTCTTCAGGTGGTACCGTCACAGCCACGACAGCTGTATCAAGTACATGAGAGATTGCAGGAGCTACCACCATTATATAAACGGAGTGGTAGCTCCTGCAATCTCTCATTTACTTGATACAGCTGTCGTGGCTGTGACGGTTCCACCTGAAGACGGAAGCTTGTGTTGCCTCCGAAACGTCGTGATTTTTATTTTATTTTTTAATGTTTTTACCTACACGGTGACTTTACCGAAATAACCTAAGAATATGAATCATTGCAGTCACGAAAGCTTCAAATCTAGCTCCACAATAGTACCATTGATCATGTTTATTTATCTGCATTGCAACTTACTCAATGATCGTATTACCTTTAATCAGACAATCTCATCGAAGTGGACATCATTTGATCATTGGTGGGTTTCGTCACGGTCAATCATATTGAGTTACAGTAAAACCTTGGATTGCGAGCATAATTCGTTCCGGAAACGTGTTTGTAATCCAAAGCACTCGTATATCAAAGCACTCGTATATCAGTTGTGATCACGTGACGCTCGGCAGACAGAACGTACTACTCGTATAGCAAGACCTCACTCGTTTAATCAAATTAATATTTGTTTTAAAAAAATTGCTCGTCTTGCAAAACACTCGCAGACCAAGTGACTCGCAATCCAAGGTTTTACTGAACTTTCATCATCCACTCTTAGTTGTGGTTCACCAAGATTTCTATAGTAACACTTCATCGGTCAACATTTTGGTAATTATCTACACATCTCTACACTGACAAAGGTTCATGACCATGCGTGCAATTCACGGGACACTGGACAGCAGGTGCTCACATTCGAAAAAACCACAGACTCGGTAATTCATATCCGTTATTAATGTTTTAATGTTCGGCATCTGCACAACCGCAACAGACGTCAAATAAACTTTACCATCAAAATATACGAAATGTATAAACACTTGAACACGTGGTAGCAGTAGGAAGCTTTTGCCACCAACTTTATCCATGAATGCCACTAGTTTTTTTATTATTCTAGTATGCATTACCTCCACAAGCGTGCACACACACACACACATTGTACCCAGGTTTAATGAGATCTCATCGCAGAGAGAAACGTCGCTCTGCAAAAACTAATTCTGGAAGACACACACAAACACATTGTACCCAGGTTTAATGATATCTCATGGCAGAGAGAAACGCCGCTCTCCCAAAAACTCATTCTTGAAGACACACACACACACATTGTACCCAGGTTTAATGAGATCTCATCGCAGAGAGAAACGCCGCTCTGCCAAAAACGAATTCTTGAAGACACACACACACATTGTACCCAGGTTTAATGATATTTCATCGCAGAGAGAAACGTCGCTCTGCCAAAAACTAATTCTTGAAGACACACACACACATTGTAACCAGGTTTAATGATATCCCATTGCAGAGAGAAACGTCGCTCTGCCAAAAACTAATTCTTGAAGACACACACACACACATTGTACCCAGGTTTAATAATATCTCATCGCAGAGAGAAACGCCGCTCTGCCAAAAACTAATTCTTGAAGACACACACACACATTGTACCCAGGTTTAATGATATCTTATCGCAGAGAGAAACGCCGCTCTGCCAAAAACGAATTCTTGAAGACACACACACACACATTGTACCCAGGTTTAATGAGATCTCATTGCAGAGAGAAACGTCGCTCTGCCAAAACTAATTCTTGAAGACACACACATACACATTGTAACCAGGTTTAATATCTCATCGCAGAGAGAAACGTCGCTCTGCCAAAAACTAATTCATGAAGACTTTTTTTGCAACTCAGTCCTTTAAACAGTTGGCGCTCATACCGCACAGAAACACCAACTCAATTATCTGGGAACCAGACTGATGATAATGTTAAAACATTTTTTTTGCCGAGATTTCAACACAGCTAAAACTTCCCTCAAGGTAATGGTGGGGAGTGCCGTTCTCTCCTTTGCCATTTCCCAACCGCAAAGTTTTCATCGCGGGGTCTTGTAATCTTATAACTTGCGATACCAAAGCGCACAGCAGCCCAGCTCTCAACAGCATGAACAATTCGATGTGGGCGATTACTATGACTTGCTCTCAAACACATTCCTGCTGCGGAGGGAGCTGGTAGGAACGTTGGGTTGCTCGCTCAATGGCCTGCAGGGTCAACGGCGGCGTGGTGTATTCCGCAAATATGCCCGACTGTGAGGGCGGGCACAAGCCGGCGTGAGTAGGTTAAACGTTGAGTTTTATAAGGGCACCACGGGGTGACCAGCCCCTCCCCACCCCTCCCACCCCTCTCCACCCACCCCCCCATCAAGCCCCTACCCACCCAGCCCCTCCCCACCCAGCCCCTACCCACCCTCCCCTCTCCACCCAGCCCCACCCCTCCCACCCCCCCATCCAGCCCCTAACCACCCAGCCCCTCCCCACCCAGCCCCACCCCTCCCACCAGCCCCACCCCACCTAGCCCCTCCCCACCCTCCCCTCTCAACCCAGCCCCACCCCTCCCATTTTTGGATGCACGACGGACGGACAGACACAATAATCCCCTGTGGGCTGGTGGAACCAGGTGGTTCCTACCAGTATCACATTGTAATGTCATTGTGGCCTTCCTGGCAGCCAGTAGAATCTGCGCTGTGTGGATACATCGATGACTGGCGGGACCGCGCCCACATCTCAGTACGATCACTGCACTGTGGAAATGTGGCCGTCGTTAAAGATTAAAAGTGAATGTTAACGGCAAAATAACGGTGCTGTAACTCTCTTTACGACGAAACCCACATCTCCCAACATTTGTACAGTGCAAGAAAGTTACATTTTGCCATTTCGTCACGAGAACCACGTGAAGGTTACACAATGCTCGTAGCTTAACAACGTTCACGGAGCCTTTGTGATTGCTGCCAATGTGAAGTGAGAACAAAGATGGAAAAACGAGCGGTCATTTCCAATCAACCCTGCCTGCTGGTCCAGCATCTTGTTTGTAGACAAAAATAAACCACCGGTTTTCTAAAAGCAACTGCCGCAATAATTACACAATAATCACCACAAAACAACCGACTTCTCTCACAACGGAGGCAGTATTCTCACACAAGACGATTGCCTTGCTCAAAAGAAAACGCAACGCAAAATGGGCTCGGAACAAAATTCTGAACAAGCGTTTAAAGGCCCCCAAAATAAATAAAAAAGAAAAATAAATACAGAAATATTGAGCGACGCTTTTCAAAATACGAGATTTTTGTTTACAATGTCCCTGAAGGACACACACACACACAGCCACGTTAACACGGACGCTCGCAAGGGGGGCCACGTGAACACGAGTTCGTGTGTGCTGGGGGGCAGCCGTCATTTGAACAGGAAGAGAACCAACGAAAAACAACGCATCCTCCAGTAAAACCCTATTCAAGAAACACCAATTTCGATTTAAAGCTTTCGTGACTGCAGGGATTCATCTTCTTGTTTCTTTCGGTAAAGTCACGTAGAAGGGAAGTAATAAAATAATAAAAATAAAAATAAAACATAATAAAACAATTCTCACGACGTTTCGCTTGCGTTGTAGCCGAAACGTCGTGAGAATTGTTTTATTATGTTTTATTTTTATTATTTTATTACTTCCCTTCTACGTGACTTTACCGAAAGAAACAAGAAGAAGAAACACCAAGTTAAATGTGACTTGTGTAAAACATATCTTTGAAACAACAAGCTTCCGAGTAAAACATGCATCACCACTGGAACCTCATTTGCCAGTAAAAAATATAATTGGTTTTTTACCCTTCTATCTGGCAACAAAACTGACACCTTTTTTACAAGGAGTCATGTTTGCATAGACCGCAATACCTGCAGTCATAATGCAAACAAAAAACACAACTCTGATAATGTGTGCAGTCCTTGAAGTTGATTGGTCCACACCCATGTGAGACTAGGCTCTAAGGAAAGCTGTCTCAGATGTGGACCAATCTACTTCAAGGACAGTGCATACATTATCAGAGTTATGTTTTTGTTTGTTTTATTTTTCGATTTAAAGCTTTCGTGACTGCAGGGATTCATCTTCTTGGTTCTTTCGGTAAAATCACGTAGAAGGGAAATAATAAAATAATAAAAATAAAACATAATAAAATAATTCTCACGACGTTTCGGCCACAACGCAAGCAGCCGTCCTCAGGTGAAAACCAGGTCTGTCCCTTTGATGCTGAATTAGTACTATTCACATACCTGCATTTCCCATATCCTCTCCCTTTGATGCTGCTAATCCTGCATAATGCACAGGCATAAGTAGTACTAATCACATACCTGCATTTCCCATATTCTCTCCCTTTGATGCTGCTAATCCTGCATAATGCACAGGCATAAGTAGTACTAATCACATTCCTGCATTTCCCATAAATATGCTAAATTCCTCTTGATATGCAAATTCCTTTGTCAAGGCACCCAGCTTATATACATGCTCCAAGCTCGTGTACTCTTTTGTTTGTATTATGACTGCAGGTATTGTGGTCTATGCAAACATGACTCCTTGTAAAAAAAGGTGTCAGTTTTGTTGCCAGATAGAAGGGTAAAAGAACAATTATCAAAACATGCATGGTTAGCCCAATTAGATATTAGATGACAATCTGATTCATCTTCATCGCACTCGCGGTGGTCACGTGACCGATCTCCGTAACCAGGTTGGGATTCGACGTGGAAATTGATTTTTCGGAGCCGCTCGCTGCGACGCATCCCGCCTTTCGGCAGCTCAGGATGCGCTTGAAAGTGGCGATCATCTCCGTGTCCCGAAACGAGTAGATGATGGGGTTCATGGCGGAGTTGAGCTCCGCTATGAGCAAGAAGTACTTCTCGAAGGCCAGGACGTTGCAGTCCGAGCAGAAGGAATCCAGCAGCAGAATCACCAGGCCCGGCGTCCAGCACACAATAAAGGCTCCTGGGAGAGACGGCACGAGCCATTTTTGGCAGCGACGCGTGGAACAAGACCAGCCTTGATAATTGCTTTTTTTTTACCCTTTTATCTGGCAACAAAACTGACACCTTTTTTTACGAGGAGTCATGTTTGCATAGACCACAATACCTGCAGTCGTAATGCAAACAAAAAAACAGTTGTGCGCCTTTTGGCGTCATCTGGTCCAACACCATGTGAGACTAGGCTCTAAGGAAAGGTGTCTCGGGTGTGGACCAATCAACTTCAAGGACAGTGCGTACATTATCAGAGTTATGTTTTTTGTTTGCATTATGACTGCAGGTATTGTGGTCTATGCAAACGTGACTCCTTGTAAAAAAGGTGTCAGTTTTGTTGCCAGATAGAAGGGTAAAAAAACAATTATCGTGAATCGTGTTGTCGAATGTTCTGCCCAGACAGACCCACAACGCTTACCCAACATGATGGTGACCGTTACGAGCAAGCTCACGGGGGCGTCTTGCCTCCGGGAGCACCTGGAGCTATTCTGCAGCACGGGTATCCTGTCCCTCCACATGTTCACGAAGATGTGGCCGTAGAGCCCCGCCATGATGAGGAACATGGAGAGGTTGTAGCCGGCCCAGAAGGCGACGTAGCTGGCGCTGTACAGCGGCGCCATGGTGGAGCACGTGCCGACGTCGCAGACGCAGTTCCAGCCCATGGTGGGCATGGCGCCGGCGATGATGGCCACGAGCCAGATGATCGCGACGACCGTCACGACGCGCCGCTCGCTCATCCGCTGCATCCGGAACAGCGCGACGTGGCGCTCGATGGCGATGACCAGGAGGCTGGCGACGGAGGCGGTGAGGCTCGTGTTGATCAGCCCCTGGCGCAGCATCCAGGTCTCCAGCGACAGCTTGCGAGTGTTGGGCCCCGTGTTGACAACCAGGTAGATGTACGCCACTCCGGCAAAGAAATCCGCCGCGGCCAGGTTGGCCATGAGAAAGTAGACGGGGTGGTGGAGTGTCTTGTTGATGTACACGGCGAACATGACGAGGGCGTTGGCCAGAATGATGCCGAGGCACAAGGTCAGGCCGAGCACCATGACCAGCGTGCTGGTGAAGGACCACTCGTCGTAGAGCGGCTTGTTGCTGTTGCGGTAGAAGAATGCGATCGTCTCGTTGTGGTGGCAGCTGACGTCCATCTCGTTCTCGCGTTGTGTTTCCCACGTCCAAGCACACCTGCAAAGCAAAGATTATTTAAAGGAAACCAACACCAATCGAGACTAGGCTCTAAGAAAAGCTGTCTGGGGTGTGGACCAATCAACATCAAGGACAGTGCATATCATTATCATCATCAGAGTTGTTTCTTTTTGTTTGCATTTTGACTGCTTGTGTTGTGGTTATTGCAAACATGATGCCTTGTATAAAGGTGTCAAGTTTTTGTACCAGTTTAAAGGGTAAAAACCTACTACTAAAGAGCTGTTGTTATACAATTACATCTCGATAGCGTTCCTCCTCTGAGCGTCATGATCATAGACAATGGCACCATCTTATTATCTGCACTGGCGTCCGTGACTGATTGCCCTATTTAATGACCCCCAGGGGAATGTGACTCAGGGTCGTGAAAAGAGGTGATGTCATCTTGTCACACTGCCGATACATGTGTACGCACACGCGTGTACATGTATAGGAACTCTCGCATCATACATGTACAGTCCGCTTGAATAATTCCACTGCTGGATGATGACCTCCGCACACGTCTTGTGGGTCGGGTCAAGAGCGATATTTGACTATACTTCACCACGCTGGTCAGTGGGGTTTGTGGTGGAGGTGGTGGTGGGGAGTGCAGTACACCAATAGGGGTTTCTGCACTGCCAACTGCTGTCTACAACGCCCACAGCACCTTTATACTGCACGTGGTGGTGGTGGTCAACCCATCCAAAGCACTTCTGACACAAACCCTGCTTAGCTTACAAAATCGGAAAAGGCTGCGTGCATTGTGAGTGATCTGGTCAAAGGCTACGTTGACATCAGCACACTAACATTGCATACATAACACTGGTCAACACACTTTTTGTGGCATAAGGTATTCCAACGGTGTTAAGGTCATTTTGGGGTGCTGATGATTCCAAATCTGGCATCAGTTTTTGTCCATCACATCAGGTTTTTGAGATATTATCAAATATTGCATTTTCAATAAAAACGGCAGAATAAAAATATTAAATAAATGTGGATATCTACATAAAATGATATTATATGCACACTCTCCTAAAAATACAGCACCGTATTTTAACACTAAAGCAGTCACTGACTCGCAACAACTTGCAATCATAAGTGACAGAGTTAATTTCGGGTAAAATCAATGAAAATGGGGTATGCCGATAGCATAAAAAATAGACGTGATAGAGCAAATCTGAGATCAGATTTAGAATCGGCACCCTGAAATTAGCCTAGAACAGCTGCAACAGTCCAGGCCAGAAAAACATGTTTTTGTTGTTGTTGACCAGTGTAATTAACGCGGCTTGCAATTTAGGAAGAAATGCCGCATTACACGTAACAATGTCATGGTTTCTAGCACAGATTCTCTTCACGTGAGAGTTGGGGACAGACTAAAAGGGGGTTTGAACAAGGCGAGCCCTGGCTACCTGTGGCGTTCACCCTCTACACGATAACAAACGCAACGCAAACCTCACAGAATCCTGTCATTGTTGAGCAGCGTCTCTTAGGATTAGCACATGGCCAGTAGGCAAGGCAAGGTCAAAACAAGCTGACCTTTACCCGACCTTTGACCTCACCCCTCGGCACACAGACACCTTTACCCTTTGACCCCTCTGCAGGCAGTCGACGGAGAAGTGGCGGGAAGAAGGGCCCAGGCTGCGCACGTGTTGGCTCAGGCGAGGCCCGGATGTGGATGTCAGGGCCCCGGATGTCAGGGCCCCGGATGTCAGGGCCCGTGGACACGTGACGCAGGAGGCGTGGCCAGGGGGCGGGGCTCGGGGGAGAGAAGATGAAAGGGGGCGGGGCGAAGGGGTCAGTCACGTGACCTGGGTCTCTGTGAGTCTGTGGGTCTCTGTGAGTCTGTGGGTCTGTGTGAGTGTGTGTGAAAATATAAGAATAGATTTACCCTATTCTTATGCATTATCTTTCATTATCCTATGGGCATAAATAAAGTTGGGCCAGTCTGCCAAAATGTCACGTTATATATACATTCTTTCTCTGTTATGGCAGAAAAAGAACATGCTGTTCTCGTGAATCAACCTGATTTTCATTGCATTCGTTCACGAATGTAGCACCTTATACATGGCACAAAAAGACAGCTTGGTGTGGAGTCAAAAGGGATTATCCCAGTAAAATACGATCAACTCCACCACGACAGCGATCGCTGCGCACGTCAGCTTACATGAAGTATGATCTGTGTTTTGATTTAGTGCGCTGATCTTAAAGGTGCATTGAAAAATGTTGATACTCCGACTGATGCTCCTGCTGTTGTGGAGTGACTCATGCAGCCAGCTATGGCTGCAGGGTTCTGGTGGTACATGTTGTTTACGTCGTTTATTGTGAAAATTCGGTCACAGTTCCTATGATCACTGTTTCATTGCTTTTATGGCTTGATTTTGGTGATTTTCGAAAAGTTTTTTGGTTTGGCCATGTTTGTTTGTTGTAGTACAGAGTTAGACTGATGGCCTTAATCTAAGTTGTCTTGTGGTTGTTGTTGTTGTTGTTTGAATTGCATCCCACTGGGATTTTTGCACACAGCGTTGGTGTAACGGTGCTTTTTCTGCAATATTTTGCTGTCTTTTCTTGGATTTTCTGTTTGCACTCAGTCACATATTCACTTTAAGATGTTTTTGTTCATGTTTTTGTTTTTTGTTTGTTGAGGTTGCACCCGATTCAAGAGCCAAATGGCTCACAGGGCCACACCTAATACATGAACATGAACTTGAAGGTCCTAGTGTGGACACACGTTGACCAGTGTAAGAGGCGGGGGGGTGGTCACCTTCGGTCAACCCCCACACGCCTCAAGTTTCAAGTTTTCATGTATTAGGTATAGCCCTGTGAGCCATTCGGCTCTTGAATCGGGTGCAACCGCAACAAACAAAAAAACAAAAACATGAACAAGAAAACATCTTAAAGTGACTATGTGACTAAGTGCAAACAGAAAATCCAAGAAAAGACAGCAAAATATTGCAGAAAAAGCACCATACACCAATGCTGTGTGCAAAAATCCCAGTGGGATGCAAGTCAAACAACAACAACAACAACCACAAGACAACTTAGATTAAGGCCATCAGTCTAACTCTGTACTACAACAAACAAACATGGCCAAACCGAAAAACTTTTCAAAAATCACCAAAATAAAGCCATTAAAGCAATGAAACAGTGGTCATAGGAACTCTGCTGCCCCCTGTGGGCCCGTGAGCTTGGGTGCATCTAAGGTGACCTGCAGAGCCTTGCTACGGTACAACACGTGTACACACACTCACAGTTTAACACTCACACACACAACAACAACCGCCATTCGCCACTAAGTGGCGGTGACGTCACCACGACGCTTGTGCCAGGCCATGTGCACTTTGAGGCTACCACGTGGCAGGAGGAGGTCACGGGGCAGACCCAGCAGGTGTTACGTGTCAACTGACTGAGACAGTGGCTGATGCTACCACCACATTGTGGGCCCCTGCTGTGCCAACTCGCTGTGTGGGTCTCTGCAGGTCTCCACAACTTGCGGATGAGTTCTGCTGCTGCTATTTCAACGACCCTGAGGTTTGGTGGTCGTCTGGGCCTTCGTTGGTGTTGACGCCTTGGTAATTGAGATGTTAACTACCTCGCCTGGTGTACAGGAGGTCGTGGGTTACACCATAATCATCACGGTGGCTGGGAAATGTTAACTACCTCGCCTGGTATACAGGAGGTCGTGGGTTACACCACCATCATCACGGTGGCTGGGAAATGTTAACTACCTCGCCTGGTATACAGGAGGTCGTGGGTTACACCACCATCATCATCACGGTGGCTGGGAAATGTTAACTACCTCGCCTGGTATACAGGATGTGCAGTACTACACTACGTACTACACTATACACAACTATATGCTATACTACTGGACACTCTACTATACAATACACTTCTATATACTACACTATACACATATATACTACACTGTACTATACAGTACACTACTATACACTGCACGATACAATACACTACATTGGTATACACTACTATACACTGCTATACACTATAGTAATGTACACTACACTACTATACACTCCACTACTATATACTACACTAAACACTTATATCTACTATACTATACAGTACACTACTATACAATACACTATACTATACACTACAAAGCTATACAATACACTACTATACACTACACTACTATACACTTATATATACTACACTACACTACTATACACTCCACTATACAATACACTATACATTTCAATATTCTACACTATACACATATATACTACACTGTACTATACAGTACGCTACTATACACTACACTGGTATCCACTACACTACTATATACTACACTATAGTAATATACACTTTACACTACTATACACTACTCTAAACACTTATATTTACTACACTACTATACACTATACTATACAGTACACTACTATACAATACACTACTATACACTCCACTGCTTTTCACTACACTATACACTTTACACTACTATCCACTACACTACTATATACTACACTATACAATACACTATACACTCCACTGCTATACACTACACTATACACTGCTATATTCACTATAGTAATATACACTACTATACACTACACTATACACTTTACACTACTATCCAATACACGACTATATACTACCCTATACTATACAGTACATTACTATACACTACACTATACACTTATATATACTACACTACTATACACTATACCACAACATTTACAATTGTTGAGTACTGTGACGTTTCGCTGGTAACTGCATCCAGCATCATCGGGCAATTCGCCAGAATGGTGAGGCTCTGCTCTGGCTCCCGGTCTTAAATAAAAAAATATTTGTAAATGTTGTGGTTTCACGCTTCAACACACCGGTGTGGGGCTAAAGTAGTGAACTATTTTGTCTTTTGTCAACGTGACACTTTTTTGCTGATTGGCCGTGTCGGGTGGTGGAGGGTTACGACACATAAATAACGCGATCTAATCCCAAAATGTTGATTATGAATAAAATTGGTCGCGAAAGCCTGCTACGTGTTAAACTGTGTGGAGTGTGTTGTTGTTACGCTCTTACCACATGCCCCCGACTGGACATCTGTGGGTTCAAGATCTTTCTAGCTCATCGGAATCCTCCTGCTGCAGTCTAAACATTCTCTGTGCCTTGTGTGGGTCTCCTTGGATTACCACCACTTGAGCATTCCACTTACATATAGTTATAGCTGTCAACCCCTTATTACAGACCAAGTCAGACCTTAATGGTCACCCCGTGCCCTTGTGAATCTCAACTTTCGTCCTGCAAAGTCCCATCACAAGGGAGAAACAATCAAAGACACAAAACAATTGTTGCTGCTCGTATCCAAACGGCTGTCCGCCGTATGCACCTGAAAACTCAATTTCCCTCTGAAAACAAAAATAATTAGCATTTTCACTGCTTGTGTTGTGGTTATTGCAAACATGATCCCTTGTATAAAGGTGTCAGTTTTTGTACCAGTTGAAAGGGTAACAACCTACTACTACTGTGGCTACTTTGTTGTTGTCACGCTGCACGATGGGACCGACCGCCGGGACTGGTTTGCTACGGCCTTTGGAGCGGCTTTGCCAGTTTCGGTAGATCGTCTCAGGACCGCTGGATAATGTCGGATGATTATCGTGCCGTGCCGGATAATCAATGATGATCGACGGTATCCCGAGGCAGCAAAAGAGCTGAACGCGGCGCGCGGCCAGCCAACGTGCCGTCTGAATCCGCGTCTCTCTTCTTGAATCCTCAGGTGGGCACGCTTCTGGCGAGCTGGTGGTCACAATGAGCTGGAACTTCCTGACCCGTTTGTTGGAGGAGATATCTTTGCACTCGACGTACCTGGGCAAGCTCTGGCTAACCACGTTCCTGATCTTGCGCATCATGCTGACGATCGTGGCGGGCGAATCCATCTATCACGATGAACAGAGCTCGTTCATGTGCAACTCCCAACAGCCGGGCTGCACGAACATGTGCTACGACACCTTTGCTCCCCTGTCCTACGTGCGCTTCTGGATCTTTCAGATTATCACCGTGGCGACACCCAGCATTCTCTACCTCGCCTTCGCCATACACAGGATACAGAGGTCTAGTGAAGTTACACTATGAGACATCTCCTTTACCATTGGCAAAATATAGTAGTAGGTTTTTACCCTTTAAACTGGTACAAAACTGACACCTTTATACAAGGCATCATTTTGAGTTGTGCGCCTTTTGGTGTCATCTGGTCCAACACCAATGGAGACTAGGCTCTAAAGAAAGCCGTCTTGGGTTTGGACCAATCAACTTCAAGGACAGTGCATATTATTATCATTATCAGAGTTGTTTCTTTTTGTTTGCATTTTGACTGCTTGTGTTGTGGTTATTGCAAACATGATGCCTTGTATAAAGGTGTCAGTTTTTGTACCAGTTGAAAGGGTAAAAACCTACTACTAGGCCTAGTGAAGTTACGGCGACGACGATAACCGTGATAAGAACGGCGAAGTCCCCCAAAAAAACCTTCATTCCGCTCTTTGTTCTTGCGAGAAGGAGATGTTTAACTTTTACTCCCGCGTCGTTATCCGCAGGTCAGAGAGCTCGCCTGGCGATCAAGGAGGGGAGTTTCCCGACGAGGCCAAGAAGAACGACTACAGACGGCACGACGGGCGTCGCGCTATCAGGGCCGACGGCCTCATGTGGGCCTACGCGCTGCAGCTCGTCCTGCGCACGGTGGCCGAAGCGGGCTTCCTTCTGGGCCAGTACGTGATGTACGGCTTGGAGGTGATCCCCCGCTTTGTGTGCCCCCGCCGCTACCCCTGCGTCCACTTCGTCGACTGCTTCGTGTCGAGGCCCACGGAGAAGACCGTCTTCCTGCACGTGATGTATGCCGTGGGGTGCCTCAGCCTGGCTCTCGACCTGGCCGAGATGTGGCACCTGGGGATGGGCGCTCTCAGGGACGAGCTGCCGGGCAGCCGAGCCAAGCGCCGGTATTGACAGCACTATGAGACATCTCCTTTAGCAGTGGCAAAATATAGTAGTAGGGTTTTACCCTTTCAACTGGTACACAAACTGACACCTTTATACAAGGCATCATGTTTGCAATAACCACAACACAAGAAGTCAAAATGCAAACAAAAATAAACAACTCTGATAATGATAATAATATGCACTGTCCTTGAAGTTGATTGGTCCACACCTGAGACAACTTCAAGGACAGTGCATATTATTATCATCAGAGTTGTTTCTTTTTGTTTAACACATAGCTGTACCGGGGGAATTTCCATTTGGTACAGATATAATGGGAGGCTGATCGGTGCCCGGGTGCGATCAAGGGATGGCTCCCTATTGGTCAACCACGTTATGTATGCCGATGAAAAGATATTGCCGCTCGACTGATTCGGAGTGAGACC